ACCGTCCACGTAAGTGGCTGCAGGCTTGTCCAGCCTCCACATACTCCAAAGATCCGCACAAGCGACTTGGAGATACTTGGAGAAAACTGCTGACACACAAACACAAACACACAAACACAAACTAAATCGACACACCGACATCATGTTGTGGTTCAGAAGACTTAACCATAGACAATAGATGATGGCTCTTCCTCCTACTAAGTACTTCCGGAAACACACAGAATACTGTCCAAGGAGCTCGACTTTGCCCTCTGCGACTAGCTTTAGGACCAGAACTGCCTTGGGCCGATATGGGAGAAGGGTGCAGGGGGAGCGGGTTGCAAACTCTGACACGTTGAATGTCGGACTTTTGTGACGGAGAAAGGACCGAAGTATCAAAGGCTCCTAGCCCAACGCCGTTGATTTGATGCTTGGTGACAGGGGCTGCTCCAGTGCGCGCCGAAAGGCCGTGTAAGGCTTGGTACCAGAGCCGAACGCAAAAGTGTCATTCTCCGTTACTGCCTCAGCAAGGACAGACGCACGCCGCACACTCTCAGATGCGAAATGTCAAGACCTGCATCTGTGTTTCGCGTCGGGGCGGCCAGTCGCATCGTTTTCCCAAGAGCTGGATTGAAGCTGCAGCAAAACATATCTCGGCTGCGAGACACAATTGGCAACATAGGCTCCAAGCTCTGCCAGTAACTGGATCACGTCCGGCAGAGACGGTAAAGTCCTGAAAAGGCCACGACGACAAAAACCAACAAACCCGGACATGCGCATACATCATGAGCCCACTGAGCGGCAACAACAAAGTCTTTAAGATGCACTTCGGAGGAGGAGCAGGTGGGGCTATCTCGCGCGGCTACAAGTACAAAGATGAACTGCTCTTTCCATCTCCAAAAAGCTGAACAAGCATGCTATAGTTTGCTATAGCCGATAACTCCTCCGTGGCCGATTTCCAAGCCAACTGCGTTGCAAAGCCGTACTTCTTGGAAAGTCCTGCTGCAGCTGACCATGTTGCACGGTGTACCATAGTATTTCCAGCTAGTTGGAAACACTGGCTTAGCACTTGCACTCGACGAGGTCAGGCGAGGTATTGGGGAAAGGACTGCAACTTTTGCACATTCACCTGGATCCCACACGCACCTGTCAACGAATTGGCAACACTGACTTGCTGAGCCGAAACGCTGACTGGCGTCAGCAAACTATTCGGCTAATTTGAACGAAACAAGTAGCCATGTCGTTGTATACGGTGACTGGATTCTGACAGTCAGCAGGTCCGACAGCAAAGTATGCAAACGGTCGTTTGCAGTGGCTCCTTATGCCTTTCGACCCGGCGATTAACAACACATGCAGACAGAACGAACATGGTTGAGCAGAATGCGAACAGCAATAGCTATTGATGCCATCAAGAAACCCAACACCACTGCCCAATTGGCCCTGGTGGGGGCATCCTGTCAGCACGCTTTGGAAAGCATCTTCCAGCTTGCTGGCTGCCGCAGCATGAAGCAGACCTATGTTGTCACACGGGCTGATACAGCTCAAGGGGTCTTCATGCACCATAGCATGCTTGTTTATAGTGATATTCTGTCGGAGATTCTAAGTCTACTCGACTGAAGTCATCTCTAGCCTTCTGCATTCCTGCAGGACGTCAAGCTCTCCTCACCGGACATCCAGAATGTGTGAGTGACCACTCCCGAATCGGAACGAAAGTTGCGTTATGTCGCGCTGTTGAGGATCTTGCGAGAAACTTGCAGGGGGCTCGAGGGCTCATCATACAGCTCGGGCCGACGAAGCTTTGTATGATATACCCAGGAAAACGTGCCCTCAGACCACTTCCTGGGTGCTGTATGCGCAGCTGGATTGGTCAACTTTCGATTGCATGCGTGGTTCCTGTGAGTGATTGCAAGCCTGAGAGTATTGATCGCTACCTAGATTACAGGTTGTTCCTGATTGACAGCGAAACGCCGTGCAAACCATCCCAGGACGACATCAGGAACCCACTACAACTGAGGTCGCCCCTTCGACGACAAGTTGGCAAATCGCATTAGAACACTCCGGTGAGTCTACACAGGCGTAAGGAAGCGTCCCCCTGTGCTGAGTGACATCAAAGTAATGGCACGGCTTTTGGCTGATTCCTCCAACGGACGATTGCAGTTTTGAGAACTTCAAAGCCCAGTGCCACCAACAGTTAGCCAACCCTACCCGGAGGTCTCGCATGCACCACAGCAGCACAGCCTGTGTGTTTCTGTCTTTTCGCCTGGCCGCCAAAATGATGTGTTTCTTGCTCGTTTGCTTGCTTGCTTGCTTGCTTGATATACATCCATCTGCGAAGACGGGGGAAACGACGCAGCAAGGCAGAGAAAGCGAACCCCTTTATGACATCCACTTGCTGCTGCCGTGAGGTCTGCATGAGGACAAATGCTGTGCTGACATGTTGGCATGCATTGTCCGAGCGCAGAAGGCTGAAAGGCATAAACATGCCCAGTATTATGTGGCATAAAGGCCCAAGGTTCGGAAGACCCCATAATTAATCACACATTCTGAAGCAAACACCTATGACTCTGGGGCGATGGCCAAAGAGCACAACGGCGAAAGGCGGCCTCATCACCTAAGAGTCCGGCTTACAACTTTGCCATAGCCATGCAGGAAAAACTGCAAACAAAACCTGTCCCGCTGCCTAGCGCTGACTGGACTTGGGGTCCTGAATGAAATTTAACTACTTACTAAGTACTACTTACGGTTTCGACCGCCAGCTACAGAGTTTGAGTTCATGTGCGTGTGGATTCCAGGTGGCATCTCGGTGTAAGCAAGGGTTTTAGGATCTGTTCGCTTTGGTTCTTTAGGGCCTCAGCTGTTTCAACTCTCTCGGTTGCCGACGCTGAGCTCCAGCAGCGCAGTGGGAGTCGCAGTACACTGAGAAGGGCCCCCCGAGCCCAAAGTCCGCAGAAGCAGTCAAAATCTCCGGAGACCGGTGTGTCTTTAAGGGATAGTTGACTGCAGGGCCCTTTTTCGGATCCTCGGCCTTGGCTGTAGCATCGGCTGTCAGACGTGCCACAAATTGAAATGAGGCCTTTCCCCAAAGCTCGACTCCAGCGGAGGTGTTTGCATAGAAACGCAAACACCTCGCAATGGAACTGACAAGGTGTTGTTGCACAAAGCCTATGTACGGCTGCAAAGACTAGAGGACGACGACGACGACAGCAGCGACAGCGACAACAACCACGACGACGACGAACAACAACATCATGATCATCATCACCACAACAATAAGAACCTGAAAAAAAAGGTGCTCAGAAGATGCGATGGTCACGACACCGAAAAGTGCATTATGATAATTTCCAACACAACAGCACAAATCAACACGACGCCTAGAAGACCGAATGCAGGGAGGCTTTGTGAGGATTCCGAACGGAACGCCAGTGCCAGCTCCAGAAATAGCAGGCAAACAAGCAGCAGTACGACCTGCATAACACATGTAGTCGCGATCTACCACTGCCGAAGGTCACGACCACAGAAACACCATTATCGCTGGTGTGGCAGCTGTGATTCTGAAGGCAGCTAACATGAGTATCGACAGCGCATCGACGACTCTATTCTTCTGGTAGCTTTACTTGTTGACTGATGTTGCTGCCGGGCCCACTACAGTACCACCTCTTTACCTCTGCGAGGCACCCATTTTCCAACCGACAAATTCGTCGTAGCTAGTAGCACCAGAAAACGATGCCTGCAGTTGAGGTTGCTAAACACTGCGACACATGCGAGCATTGACCATCGAGCGCTATCATCCAAAACGAAACCACCGTCATCGTCAGCGATGTCAGAATCTGGATTGGAATGAAGGTCTGCTATAGTCATTTGTTGTCTGGCATGCTTTGCTAGGGAATGGGTTAGGCCTGGCGAGGCAACCCGAGTCTCTGAGGGTCCAGGTGATATCCGAAAACAACCCATGAATGTACAGGGCCTAAGAAGAGCTGGAGCCATCCACAAAATTAGTGGGAGCTTCGGAGGCGATGGTGGCCCAGGTGATGCTTGCGGGCCGAAGCTGGTGTCGGTCTTGTGATTCGAGGATGTGTGGTGCGCCCGCGACTTCCGTGACCTGCAGACTCGCCCAGCCCATCTCAGGGTCCGAGGCCTTTCTTGCCAGGGGGTCAGGAAGTCGCAGCGCCCAAATAGCGGCTGGAACTAGAGCACATTTGCAGGTAAAAAACAGAGCTGAGCTGTGGAGCTCACGGGCATAGCGGTGGGAAGCAGGAGCGAAGCAAAGGCTGAGTCTCCACTGCACCGGAAGCCATAGACACATCAAGGGCTCATGATGATCATCATGCCAACTGTACGTGCAGTACTACGCCACAATCATACCACTGTTTCTAGCGGGAAGGCAGCAAACATGCCAAGTATCCTTCTGATGGCAATATCTTCGCAAGGACACGCCCGAATCGGAACTGGCAGCACGAGTCCTGAATGACTTTTTGGTAGTCGCTCCCCATCCTCACCTCTTTCCCCGCGTTTTGGCTAGCGAAACGCCGCGCAGCCAGCGCACAGTGAGTGGTCTTGATTGAGGCTCTGATAGCTTTCGACAACAAGTGCCGATAAAGCCTGACAAGCAGGGCGGCGATGTTCTGGCTGTTTCTTGGCCCTTCTTTGCTGCTTCCAAGTCGTACGACAGCATGGCTTGCGACTGTCGTCCATGGCATCTCTCCATAATCCGAGCTCGTTGGAGTCTATGGGGCCTTCATAAGACGTTTCAACAATTTCAAGCAAGCAATACTCGGCCAACTACAGGAACCACAAGCCACAAGACGTTACTCTCCAGGTTACCGGTGTACGTCGCGATTGAAAGCCTTATCGGCAGTCAGGGCACTTGCCAACTTGTCACTGGCTTTGGCTTCAAGCACCCTGGGGCGAGAAGCCGCTTCAAAGCAAGCCCGGCAAACTCGAGCGTCTATGCAGAAAAAACGAAGCATTGCCCGAGAATTGCCGAGCCGGTCGTTGGGTGAATCGGCGAAATCAGCAAAAACTCAGGAAGTTGATGTCTGCGAGTCGAGTCCTTGTAACTTCACAGAACCTGATCAGGCGATCTCATGTCCGGCGAAAGCTACCAAGAGCCAATCATGAAACCGACACGACAAAGAACAGCTTGGATAAGTTGACGGAAGATTCATACCCTTTTTCATCAAGACTTGGGCACTTTGCGGTGACTTACAATCTGCGGCTTCGTGATGTCTCGGGCGCAGACTGCCCAGTGCATCGGCCATTTGCTTCCAAACCTCCGCCAAGAAACACAGTGAGATCACAGTTGTAAACAAGGACTAAGCAGCAAGAATAATTTGACTCGGCAATGTCCAAAAAACTATCAACAACTTTTTCGTCATTTTCGTCACCGTTCTCACCCGGCCTCCACGGAGATGCGGTTTCTGGAAAAATCTGCCGTGCGCAAGTGCAGCTGCTGCAGAGCCTGCCGGAAAACGGAGGCCTTTGCCCCAGCTTCTTCAGCACGTTGAAAATTTAGCTTTCACATAACTGTGACGGGCGCGACAGGACATCGCGACTGGAGATCCTACTTCAAGTATCTTCTACTCGTACTCGCACCGTGGAGCACAAATGACGAGGGTCAGCAGTATGACTGCGACTAGTACTGCTCCTGCGACGGCTGATCGTACGGCTCCTATTGGTTTTGTTATCCTCCTCCGTCTTCTTCTACTGCTACCATCATCAAGATTGTTACTGCTACACCTGCTACTTAGCTTCTACCACCACAAGTGCTACTGCTACAGCTACTACTGATACGACTGCTACAGCCAATAGTGCTAGTACTGTGCTTGTACTTTGTACAGCTACTTCTTCTCATGCTCCGACTCTTGCATCCAACTCCAACTGAACCAACAGCTGCTGGTACCGCTACTGAAACTACTGCTACTAGTGCTGATGCTGCTGCTGCTGCTGCCGCTGCCGCTGCCGCGACTACTGCTGCAACTACTGCTGCTACTGCTGCTGCTACTGCTGCTGCTAATGCTATATTCTAAAGCTATAGTGCTAGTGCTAGCGCTAGTGCTAGCGCTAGTGCTAGCGCTAGTGCTATCTAATACTGCTACTACCACCACTACTACTCAACCATTAGATAACTACTACTCGACCAGTATTCAGCTACTACTCAACCACTACACAGCTACGAGTCAACTACGACTCAGCTACAACTCAACCACTAGTGCTGCTGCTATAACACTCCCACATGTGCCCTCAGAATGCTCCCCACCTTTGCCAACTCCATGGCAACATCTCCAAACATGCCGTTGTGGGTCAGGACGAGATGCTCCAGATGGCCAAGCCCTCTAAGCATTGATGTGAAGGTTAAACACCTCCCGCTGCTTGCATCCTCCACCTGGCATGATACCGTGTGGGGCTTTGTGTCCTATACACCAGAGTGCACTACACTTGCTGTGCGTTCCCATGCTGTTTATTCTCGAGGTTTCAGGCCTCACCTTAGGCATCAGGCGCTCATGTAAAACACGACGTGCTCGGTTTGCGCTTCGTTGAACTGTGGCATGTGATCTTCCGGTTCAGGAAGTAACCCTCAGGTGCAAAACTGCTTACATTCGCACCGCAAGGCTCTGCCAGCCCGGCCTTCTCCAAGACATCTTTCTGCCGAAGTGGCAGGAAGCCTGGCGGAACAACAGCTGAAGTCAAAGAAAACCCGGGATCTGATGGAAACAACAGGAATGGTAATCACAGCGGCATGAGGAAGACTGCAACTTCAGGAACACAGGCACGAAGCGCTGAGCTGCAGCCGTCGCAGCGGCAGGGACTCGAGACCCTCGATGAGAGCAATGCGAGCTTCGGAGGACGGCCTGCAAGGACTGGGTCATACGAGGCTTCAAAAATCTTCTTCTTCTTCAGTATTACTGCGGCCCAGTGCTGTGCGCGACGAAGCCCCATCGGCCGTAGACGCCGTAGACAACATACTGTCCCTTCATCACAAATGCCAAGACGAAAGCTGTGCTCCTGAGTGGCTCTGCATTGTCGGCGAAGGATGCCAAACGCAAGGAGAGCTCCTCCGAAAGGTTTGGGGTACATGGCCATGGTATATCGGTATACTGTATACCTTACGCCGAGGAAACTAAACAACAAGAAGTTAAAAACGACAGACTAATATCCGCAGGAACTTCCTCCATGCAACATCCCCAACCGAATGGTTCTGCGAACGACAAGCACGTGCTGAAAGGAGTGACACCAGCACCAGCACCACCACCACCACCACCACCACCACCATCACCACACTATGACCACGCCACCACACCATCACCGAACCGCCGAGGCTTTTGTGCTCTGAACTGTTTTTTGCGCTCAGCAAGAATGATTTCGCTGCGCTTTGTTGTGCTCGCGACTTGTATTACTAAATATTCGTTGCGCTCGAAAACATTGCAGTTTCTTACGTGTGTGTTAGAGATCGTGATTTGCAATCTGTGCTCGGCAGACTTTTGATATTGCGGTTGGTCTGCTCCTTGCCTGGTTGGTAGTTTGAGCTCTGAAATTGTGCTACGTCTATGATTTTTCGTGTTCGTGCCTTTTAGTTTGTGCTGGGACATATAACTTTCTTGTGCTTTTCTCGAGCTGGTGATTCGTAGTCTGCCTGGGGAGCCCTGGTAAGTCATAGTACCATACACAAATGCACGGTATTGCATGTCCATGTTCATGTACATATACGTACATGTGGAAACCCCCGCCCACACCCAAGTCGATCATGCACACCGGAGGTTCTGCCATCTGCCTGGTTTCGAGGTTCGCGTCACCAATCGAAACTCGCCTAAAAAACAAAAGATCCCCGCTCGGATTTGCAAAAAAGATGTCAGAAACCGAAGCAAGCAAATGTTCGTTTCAGCTGTTGTAGCAGTATGGCCAGCACGCCTATGTGCATTGTGTACAAACTTTCCAAAACGAGAGATTTGAAACAACTGAAGGCTATGGTTCTCATGGTCTAGAAGACATAGCAAATGCTGGCATTGCGGCGAAGAACGGCGAAACACCCAGTCATGGCTATCCAGGTAATACTCATTAGTTAATTGCATTTGTAATACAGGTGCCTTTGAATACTGCATGTTCACTTGTTCTGTATTTCGTGAATGTAAAGTTTTGAACTGCATGTTAGATGCACCCCAATCAACGAAGCCTACAGTCTCCAAGTCGGGTTCATAAGCATTGATAAAGATTCAGCGTTCAGCTAGTATATACTTTGCGACATCAGTTGTTGTTGACGATGTTGTTGTTGCTGCTGTTGATGTTTGTTGTGTGTGTTGTTTGTTGTGTGTTGTGTGTTGTGTGTGGCTGGTAATTGGTGGTTGGTTGTTGCTGTTGCTGTTGCTGTTGCTGTTGCTGTTGCTATTGCTGGTGCTGGTGCTGCTGCTGCTGCTGCTGCTGCTGCTGTTGCTGTTGCTGTTGCTGTTGCTGTTGGTGTTGGTGTTGGTGCTGTCGTTGTTGATGTTGTTGCTGCTGATGTTGTTTTGAGGGCTGCTGTTGTTGTTTTGAGGGTGCCGTATGAGCAACACCACCCAATAAGAGCACATTGCAGCCAAGTAGTGTATTAGATATTCTGTAAGCACACTGCGTTACATTTGGTGCATGATCATAACAGTAAGTGTTTATCTACAGTATAACAACACATACTAGTTTAGGGCGCGCATTTGGCTGCAAACCAGCTAGTACCCATGCAACACTTAATTGGATTCTGGATTTCAAAGTACTTTTCAGAAATACTCAATACTGAATATTCATCACCGCCCCTTTCATTAAACACCACCCTAATAATAAACACACATTGGTGCGAATCCATCCGAAATCATCCCTGCCCTTTAAAACCTGCTCTGAATTAGGGGGGAGTGCTTCGAGGCTCCAAAACCCTTAGAGCACTGCCAAAGCAAGAGCAAGAGCAAAGGTATGAGCAAAGCAAAGCAAGAGCGGGAGTAAGAGCAAGAGCACGAACAGATGCACGAGATGCAGCAGAAGCAGGAGCAAAAGCCAGCGTGGGAGCAAGAACACAACCCCTCAAAAGTGGCAGCAGAGATAAACATACCCCGAAGTAATAAGACACTTTCCGAGTTTATTTTTGGGCCCCCCCGCTTAATGTTAGGGGGAAGCGATTAGTAACAGGTCATTGCGGTAATACTACTTCGGTAAATGCTGACACAATACATACTTCAGCAAGGGCGGAACTTTTGGTGATGTTGACTACTGTTTATTCGCTCATTGAGAGGGAGACGTGCCCATATGCTGCGCATTGCCTCAAAATTGCGTTTTTGAATTGTGTAAGAACTGTGTTTTGCTTCCAGCATGCTACTGCCCCGGCTGAGGTCCCAATGAAAGATCAAAGCAACACTTTAAGCTAGCCGTGCCAAGCAACAGTTGGGACTTCAATGGATGCTTGATTCGAAAGCTCTCCCTACAAATTCAGTGCAACATCAAAGAAGAATTAGCTAACTTCACCTGTGAACACTATCTAATGACCAGCTATATATGATCGAATTCTATATACATGGGAGTGACATGTTAGCTGCGCAAAACTTCATTTGTGATTGAAGAGTTTTTGATCAATATGTCAGTATCAGCCAAGTTTTGTGTTCGTTGTGTCAACATCAAAGGTCGGCTGCGTATCTTCCAGCTGCCAGTTTAAGCATGCTTCCTGCTTTAGCTTATGAGCGTCAATTAGATGTTCTTATACATGTACAACTCAGTACTAAGCGTTAATGTGCGACAATATACTGGAACGATCGCACTGAGGTTCGTGGAAGCGGGGCCTCAACGCACTGCAGCAGACACGGTAGCACGGTAGCAGTTGAATGCTTTGCGAAGCTCGATTTGCGCTCAAGATGGCACTCCTTTATGGCTTGCGGTGCTTGAAGACCTGCCCCTACATCTCCAGAATATGCCCAAGCCACAATGAACCACAGCTTTGTAGCTAAGTATAAGATCTAGAATCTCGCTGCCCTCTAACCGCCGCGACTGCAGGTTCGAGAGACGGACACGGATCCTGCAAAGGCAAAGCCCCAGTGCACTTGGCGGCTTTCAGAGTACGGCCCAGGCAGCTGAGAAGCCTGTCCGCGAGCCTCCATGGCAGCAAGCAAGGGAGGTGTTGAGACAACCAGCGGACACGTGCTGCAATGTCTGGGCCTCTGCGGCAAATGGCCGCTCTCCTCTAGGACATCGAGACGCCTGCGCTCTTTTTGCAAACTAATGTGGCCGACGAGTTCGGAGCGTTCGATGCTTGCAAAGGACAGCTTTAGAGTCCCCGTCGCCGTCGGCGGGCATGGAAAATCGTAGAGAGAAGGGAGAAGGCTTAACCAATGCCAGCCCTAAACAGCATAAGTGCACACATGACATATGTAAGTTTATCTATCTATATATATATATGTATATATGTATATGTATATGTATATGTATATGTATATGTATGCATATATGTGTACATATGCGCATGCTGTACGCAAAAATCTTATCTACACACGCACACATATGAATACATACATGCGTACATGCGTACATACATACATACATACATACATACATACATACATTACCTACATGCATACATGCATACATTGCATGCATACATACACTAACACAAACGCACGTACATGCATACACATACATACATACGCACGTACATACGTGCAGACATAAATTTGTATACAACCTAACTACACCGCCTAACTGCACAATCCAATTCCCAGAACGCAATTAGAAACACACCCCCCCCCCCCAGTATTTGCAGAATCCAAGCGGCCGGAGCGCAAAAAAATGAAACCAGAATCTTGCTTATGTCGATGAAAGCTCAAAGGAACTGAAAAGGCTTTGAGGCTCGGCCTGAAGCTGGGCTGTGACACTTCTCACAAACACTACACAAGCACAGGTAAAACTCATGACACTGATGAGTGGCTCTGATGCTGGATCCGGACTCTTATTACGGAGGCTGGAACTCGCCTCCTTGGGCCTTGGGGGGTTTGGGGGGGTTCCTTCATATATGAAGTAAACATGAACTGCAGAATTACATACATACATACATACATACATGCATACATGCACAAACACAAACATGACATACAGATAGACAGACATGCAGACATACCTGCAGACCCACAGAACTACAGACCTACATGCACACAAACGTACAAACATACAACCACAAAAACAAACGTGCATGCATACATAAATAATTATGTACAGACTCCTTGACTGGAAGTGAGGGGCATAGGGTAGGCTAGCTTGTGTACAGTGCATTATAATTCATTTCGCAATCGACGTTTTGGCTCAAGGCCAATAGCAGAGGCATAAAGAGTGCATTCATGGTAGCGGAGCAGCCTGGATGGGCTGCTGTTGTGCTCTAAGAAGAGGAGCGAGAGCGGCCAGAGCCAGGGCTAACTGGGTTCGACTGGTAGCCAAGTTTCAGCGGATCCGGAAGTTGCAGCGGATCTTCCACAACGCGGGAGTTCGACTGCAGGATTGTCCAAGAAGGTTGTTGGATCGCCTTACGAGGCAGTTAAGAGGGACTGATGTCCCAACCCGGAAGTCCCACTGGAGGTGGGGGAACACAAGGTGAAGAGATGTTGCTAAGATTGCTTCAAGGGCTACAGGAGCAGCTTCAAAGGCTGCAAGAATGATGGGAGCCCAGCTTCATGGGCAGCAGCAGCTTGCAGCTGCAACGCAGAACATAGCCTCGTCTACTCAAGGGGCTTCGAGGCCAAGGGGTCTCATAGATGTGAAGGCGGTGGGCCGCCCAAGCCCACTTGGGGGTTCGCTTGAGGAAGCCTCGAGGAACTGGAGACAGTGGAAGTACAGGCTAGAGCTTTGGTTGGCCAGCCAATTCCCGGAAGCTCGAAAGATCTTATCTTGGGCCCGTGAAAAGGGCGATTCGGAGATCACTTTGGCGAGCCTGGAGTCGACTTCGATTCCTGGCGTCACCAAGGAAGCGGTTCTCGAGTTCAACCGGCAGCTTGAGGTGGTCCTGGGACCCTCACGAATGAAGCGCCCGGTGATATCACGATGAACAGCTCGACGGGCTCAGGGCTCGATATGTATCGTCGTCTGCATGTGCGGCTGGACCCTGCAAACATGGTTACCTCTATGAGGTGGCTTCGGTCTCTTATCAGCACCCACCCGGTGGATTCGGTCACCGACCTGGTGCCTGCGATCGAGAAGTGGGGAGACGCCCACAGGAGGTACAGCCAGCGCAAGGACTGTACCGCCCTCACCGAGCAGCAGAAGATGGTGTCACTGCTCGGCCTTGCGCCTTCGGACCTCCAGGGTCACTTGGAGCTGGACCTTGGGAGGCTTACGAGCTACGACTTGCTTCGTCGGGAAATCGTGTCCTTTGCGGATAGCCTTTACCGCCACCGATGGGGCCGTGCCGATGGAAGTCGATGCTTTGAAGGGGGCCAAGGGGCCCAAAGGAAAAGGAGGAAAGAAGGGCGACGGCCACCAAGGGAAAGGTGGCAAGAAGGAGGACTGGGAGTGTTTTGTATGCTCCAAGAAGGGTCACCTAGCTAGGGACTGCTGGTATAAAGACAAGGGTAAAGGTAAGGGCGCCGACGTGGCCAAACTTAAGGCTCAAGGGAATAAGGGTAGTAAAGGACGGCACCAGGGGCGCTCACGAGCTTGAGGGTGCTGAGGGGGACGCCATGGATGATGGCGACGCTGCTTATGAGGCAGAAGAACCCGACGAGGAAGCCGAGCTGGGTTTCATAGGCGCCTTGGAAGGCGAGGGCTCGGCGAAGGGCCAAAAGGACGAGAAAGAGGATGAAGAAGAGACCGGGGGCGAGGGAGCGCATCGCTCCTCGCCCGGGGCAGGGAGTTCTACGGACCGGCCCCAGGCCAAGGCGAAGGCAGGCTCGACGAGCTCAACGCCGGTGGGGCTTAGGATGGCGAACACAAGTGTTCTCAACAAGCTCCAGGAACGGAGGAGGGAGCTCGAGGAGAGTCTTGAAAAGGAGCAGGCCAAGGGCGACGATGCCGAGCCTGGCGAGGTTTCCAAGCTGAAGCTTATGCTGGACCAAGTGAGGGACCAGATTAAGCGCGCCCAAGAGCTGAAGAAAAGCAAGGGCGAAGGAATGTCGGCTCGACTCAAAGCCGACTTGGCGGCAGGACGCAATGCTCGTCTCGCGAAGCGCAAAGAGAAAAGCCGGCAAAGGGCCGCCTTGCACCGACAGAGTTTGCGAAAGGCCCAAGCCGAAGCACGAGTTGGCCGAGAGGAGACCCTAGAGCGGAGGTTCAACCTGCCGGAAAGAGCACGGAAGCAAGACGAGTATGCTCTGCTACCGGAGGCCGGGGGGCAAGGTTGCCGCACCGCCCTTTCGAAGGGAGAAATCCATTATGAGGGGCCGTCCCGAGGAAAGGGAGCACTCGGGCGATGAGCTCGACGAGCCCAAGGAGAGGGACTGGAGCGTCCGGCCCGTGAAGATGACGCCAGAGGGTCGCGAGGGAAAGAAGAGGCAAGAGGCCCGAAGGAAGGCCAGGGCAACAAGGAGATGCGCGAAGAGAGGCTTTCGGGTGCCTCAGCTTCTGGCAGCGAGCCGCTTCGGCCCCTGCCAAAGAAGCGAAGGGCTCAGGGGTCGGAAAAGCCCAGCGAGCCGAAGGGACCTCCACCTAAGCCCAAGGCGATGCCGATTCCACCTCCCAAGACTCCACCGAGAGACGAAGAGGAGTTGGTGGAGGCGGTGTTCACCTTCAAGGACGGCACGGGGGCAACGGTGCGCTCAGGAGTTGCAGACCTCACCGAGGAGCAGAAAAGGAAGGTGCGCGAGGCAATCGCCTCAGCACCGTGGCACCGGGAGCCCAAGGCTAAAACTGGGCCTAGCGGCGAGAGGCCTACGGTGAACAAACGCAGCCAGCTGTTCTCTCGGGCGGTAAACTACCTGACGGGCCACCGGCCAACCCTGACTGAGAGCAAGGTTCCGAGGAAGGGGCTGGCGAAGCAGTATGGAGGTGGAGCCCGGTTTCGGCAAAGGGTTGGCATCAGGCGGAAGATGCTAGCCTTGGGTCCTCGTGGGACCGCGGGCGAGGAGCTCGTGCGGGCAGCCCTCGTGGCTCATGCCAAAGCTGGCGGGTTAAGAGTACCCTTCCTGCCGACCGCTACTACCGGAAACGGAAGGCTGCGAGGGCCGAGCAAAGGGCGAAGGAGCTTCTGAGCGAAGGCGAGGAGGACGACGCAACGCAAAGGGGCTAGGAAGACTCCGACCCAGGGCACCGGCCTTTGGGTCGAGGGCCCCGAAGCCCGCCAGGAGGCGGGAAGGAGCAAAGGAGGCAGTGGTGTACGCCACCATCCAGGTGATCCTGGACAGCGGTGCAAGCCACAACGTGGTGCCCAAGGAGTGGGTGAAGCACCTGGAGTAGGGACCGGCTGAGGGTCCTGCTGGCTTCCGCGCGGCGGATGGGAGCTGGCTTCCTCACCTTGGAACCGCCGTGGTTTCGCTGAAGTCGGCCGAGAGATTTTCCTTCAAACTCCGCTTTAGTGTGGCCTCGGTGCAGCGTGCTCTTCTCAGCGCCACCCAGGTGCTGAAGCAGAGGCACGCGATCCTCTTGAAAGGGTCGAAGGCGACAATCCACGTGAAAGGAAACCGCGACAGGGCACTGACCTTTAAGGTTAATGTCGCCTAAGGCGACGTTTGCTTTAAAGGGTTTCCTGCGGCACTGCAGAAAGGCGAAACGCTGAAGCAGGTAAGGCCGAAGCAAAGCGGAAGTGTTTCAACCAACCTCGCAGTAGCTTTAGGGGAGCGCACTGCTAGTGTACAGAGTAGCGAAGTTTCACTTCAGAGCCACTTTGGCGCGGTAGGAGAAGGTAGTGTTTTTCACCTGCCTAGGCCCCTACCTGTAGCTAGTTCTCCCGACCACTTTTTCATAGGATCCGAAGGGGAAGAAGATGAGGAGAAGGAAAAGAGCCCAATGCGCAAAGGAGAAGAGAAAGAGGAGGAGAACCCAATGCGCAAAGGAGAAGAGAAAAAGGAGAAGAACCCAATGTGCAAAGGAGAGGAGAAGAAGGAGAAGAACCCAACGCGCAAAGCTAAAGGAGAAGAAGAGAAAAACCCGAGGCGCAAACCTGGAGAAGAAGAGACTAAGGTCTGGGTCTTTGTACGTAGGCGAAGGTTCTGGGTCGTCAAAGGGAGAAGCCGCATCGGCTTCTGCCCAGCCACCTGCTGAGGAAGAGGGCCAGCAAGCCCAACCTCTAGCACGACCAGATCGGCCCACGCCTGAAATGATAGCAGCTCATGCACGAGGTGTCCCACGTGCCCTACAGGAGTTGGTGCCGTGCTTGTGTAGCTGGTCGGGGTCGTTCCTTCCAGCACAAGGCGTCAGGCCAGGAGTCCACTGTTCCGGTTGCGAGCATGGACTACCTCTACTTCAACGAGCGGGCAGACGGACCTGGACTGCCGACTGTGGTCTTGAGGGACCGGCATTCCAAGGCTATCCTCTCGCACCTCCTGCCGTGCAAGGGCACCACCGGGTCGACCTACCCTGAGCGTGCTGTTCTTAAGGACCTAGCCTTTCTTCTGGGCTACAAGAAGCTGATCCTGAAGAACGACCAAGAAGCTTCTATCAAAGCTCTCTCCCTAGCTGTTCGTAACGGCTCCTCTGGGGAGATCGTGCCGGAAGTGTCACCCAAGGGGGACCACCATGGCCAGAGCAATGGTGAAGCCGAGCGGTCTGTGCAGTCAGTGCAGGGATTGGTGAGGACTCTGAAGGCCAGCTTGGAGGAGAAGGGGATCACCCTTGACCCCTCGTCATCCGTGCTATAGCCTGGATGGTGGAGTATGCGGGAACCCTCCACACGCTGTTTAGCCAAGAGCTCCACGAGGGACTTACGCCGTTCCAGCGCATAAAGGGGAGGAAGTGGCAAGTTGCATTGCCTTGCTTCGGCGAAGCAGTGGAAATCCGCCGCAACACCCGGTCCAAGCTGGATTCAAGGTGGCAGTCCGGTGTGTGCCTTGGCATTCGGCTCCAGAGCACGAAGAAGATCGTCGGGACCAGCCAAAGGATCTTTGTGGTCCAAAGCCTGAAGCGCAAGCCAGAGGGCCGGCAATGGGACTCTAGCTTGGTGGCTGCTGTTCGCGGTCTGCCTTGGAAGACCTCTCCCGAGGAGACGGGAGAAGGGGCTCGGTTGCCTGAGCCACTGGCGGTTAGGGCAGAGGTTTCTGAGGGCCTGCCTCCTCCAGCGCGAGAGTTGGCAAGGCCAGAGGTCGCACCCTTTAGGCGGGTCTACATCCGCCAGTCTGACCTGGAGACTCACGGGTGCACGGCTGGGTGTGAAGCCTGTGCTGTCATAAGGGAGGGCCGAAGCCGAGCAGGCATCAACCAGAGTGAGCACTGTCGCCAGAGGGTCACCGAAGCCATGAAGGAGACTACCTCTGGGCGAGCAAGGCTGGAAAGGGAAGCTCAGCGCGAGGGCGAGTTTTTCGAGAGAGTGCACCAGGCGGAAGAGAAGAAAAGGAAGGTGAGCTCGGGCCACGAGGCGACGCCCACCGAGGAGTCACCTGAGGGAGCAACCTCAGCAAGTTCGGCGGCGAGGCCTCTAACCATCGCCCGTCAGATTCCTCTTGGGTCCGGCGGCCAAGAGGGAACTAGCTCTACCCAAGGGGGTGGTGCAGCTGCTTCAGCTGCGCCCCCATCGGGGCAGAAGAGGAAGAGCGAAGGTGAAGGGGACGAGAGCCGTGCTGAGCTAGCACCTTCTGACCAGAGGGCTGAAGCTCAAAAGCGCAAAGCGACTGAGGATGCCGAAGGAGTGATTTATGAGCTCATTGCCCAAGAGCGAGAAGGTTTCATTGCCAGTGTCGAGCACAAGGAGCGTCCTACGTGCGACCTGGAGGACGACTTGTGGGAGGAAAAGTTCTACGACGAGAACTCTGGCAAGGAGCTGCCACCCGAAGGTGTCAAGAACGCACGCATGGGGGAGATCGAGGTGATCAAGTCCATGGGTGTATGGGAGCCCATCGACAGGCCACCCGGTGAGAAAGTAATCGGGACCAGATGGGTCGACATCAACAAGGGGGACAGCCTCCACATGAAACTGCGATC